GAACAAATAAACTTTTAAAATAATCTCTTTGATATGTGGTTTTCATCTTAACTGCAGTTCCCACTTCACAAATGATGGATATGTTTACATGAAAAAAATAGGGGGGGGGAAACTGAGATAGTTTTGAGTTCTATTTATGTTACCACAGTTTTCATAAAGTTATAAAGGTTTCTGCAAGCATATAATGCTGCAGTTCCATCACACTCACTTGTTAAGTTTCTCAAGTGTTATTGATGAAAGCAGAAAGGAATTTATATTAAAATAGTCTTCTGGTTAGTATTACAGATAGACTGTTAAACTGGAAATCTATTGCTGGTTTGTTTGATTTGCTTGATATTGCAGTAGTTTATAATTTTTTAAGCACTTCATTGGACTAAGTTTGATGAAACTAGGTTGCTTCCATTTATCTATTTGAAATTCAGACTTTTTTTTCAGTGAACAATGATCAGCAACAGTTCCCCCTAATAGTATCTGGATGGCCAATTCCCACCTCCTCTCACTTATTAGCAATGTATACATACTGCAGATGTGTGTTTAAAAAAAAAATTAAAAAATCATGGGGCGGATCCTGCTCTAGCTGAAATCAATAGGAATTTTGCTGTTGTCTTTGGTGGTGGGGGGAGTAGTATAGTTCCCCATATACTTTTGGAAAAACCAGTAAATTTTGTCTCCATAATTCTGTCTGAATAGAATGATTATTAGTGTTGTACAGCATTACTCTGTAAAGTACTTTTAACTATAATGAGCCATGGCTTCAAGCACACACAAACAACACACTGGTTGGCAGGGATTGAATTTGGAACCTAAGCACTAAGGGTACGTCTTCACTTACCGGAGGGTCCGGCGGCAGGCAATCGATGTTCTGGGATCGATCCCGAAAGTGCTCGCCGTCGACGCCGGTACTCCAGCTCGCCGAGAGGAGTACGCGGCATCGACGGGGGAGCCTTCCTGCCGCGTCTGGACCCGCGGTAAGTTCGGACTAAGGTACTTCGAATTCAGCTACGTTATTAACGTAGCTGAATTTGCAGACCTTAGTCCGAAGTGGGGACTTAGTGGGGACCAGGCCTCAGAAACAGGTCTCTTTCATTTGAGCTAAAATGATACCTCGGTAGTGAGATTCAATTAAATAGGTATTCTTTCATGCAGACCTGGAGTTAAAACCTTGCTCCTCCAGTGCCGTAGCCTTAAAACATGTATGTTCTCTTCAGATTTGGACATCAGGTTGGGAGAGTGATGGAGCAAATCCATATATTGTAAGCCAGCTGATGATCAGTGTTTGAAGTTGGAGGAGGAAACATAGTCATGACCAAAGGCACCCAGCTCAAAAAAGTAGTTGAATTATTGGTTCAAATAATGGCACTGTCACAGGGTCTCAGCCCTACCTGTGAGACTGACGCTTTGTTCCGCAGGCTGGTAAAATGAAGGAGGTCTGGTGACTGTGGCTGGGGAGTGGTGAGGTCAAGTAGTCTGATCAGGCCTGGGTTAGATAAAACAGAGGCCTGTGGAGAGCCAGAGGGAGGAGGCCTGTGGAGAAGGCAGAGCTCTTCTTGCTGGTCAATATAATTAAACTCTTTGAGAACCATGCACTGGGATTGTGGGAGAAAAAGGATTCAGGAGAGGATCACTCTCCTTCATAGCGGTCTGTAGAGTGAAGGTAAGAAGGCCAAACTCTAAGCAAGAAGTCCTGGGAGTTACTGCTGGGAGAGCAGACCGATAGGGTGAAGAGGCTGGGCCCAGCCTGAGACTGGGGCAAAGAACCTTCTTGGTTTGAATTCCATTTGTTTTATGCCCCCTTGTTGGCAGGACTTAATTAATTGGACCCCAGAAGGGGAATCCTGTTCATGGTATCTTGGAGTGTCTGGTATGGAGTAAGGTGCTCTTTGGAGAGGGGAAAAAAGAGGCAGGGCTGCTGCAGAGCCACCCCAGTCCATGGAAGTGGAGCTATGGGGGTGGCAACTTGGCCAAAAGCACAAAAGTAATAATTCTCTCAATTAGTTTTAATTTGGAAAACTCAAATTCTTAATTACTGGGCTATGATTGATTAGAGTTAAGGGAGAATAGTAGCCTTGTATTCAGCTAGGAGGTAACAGTTCAGCTTTATTTAGCATAAAGCAAACTATGTCCAATGATCCTTAACAGAAGTTTTGCCAAGGGTGATATGGTAAGACTACTATTAGTTCATTTAATTACCTTGCAATTTCATTGGCTAACAGAGTGCCCCTGGTAGTATAATACACACACAAACCAAATTAATGTAGACTAATGCACCATTGAGTCTGATTCTGCAACACTCTATCCATGTGGAGTAGTCACTTATTTGCATTCATGGTCCCTTTGAGGTTATTTGCCAGTAATCAGCCCTAAGTCTGCACAACTGAAATTGTAAAAAGTTAAGGTTCTGACAGCAGTGCTAACTTGCTATACATCTTCTATATTTTATGGCTTACATTTTATGACATAAATGGTAATATATTAAGTAGAAAAATCTGTTTCAGAACCTGAACCTTTGAGTCTCTGGTGAGCACCCACATGTTGCTCCTGTTAACTCAACAATTTTCAAAATCAGACTATATTTATGAAGGTGTCTAAATATGGATCTAGAAGCCTGACTTTAGGTACTTGTGTTTGAAAGGTTTAGTCAGAGCCATTGTGCATTAAGGGGGAGCTTGCAATAAATAGGCAAATCATCCTCAGGAAAACTCAAGAACTTACTTAAACTCCATTTTCACAGTAAGCATTTGGATTTTAATCTTTATTGTTTCCCCTGCCAAAATAAACATCCATTTTTTTTTAAATCCTCTTTTGTTCTGGTTCCTTGGGAAGAAGGGGTTTTGATCACCAGCAAAAGAGCTAAAATAGACTCCAGAATGCACACAGGTGCAGAAACCATTCTATTTCTCAACATAAGCTCACATTTATTTGTTGTTGAAGTTCCTTTTATTTAAAAAAATGTAGAATAAGTAACAGTCCAATGACTACTCAAATGTAAAAAAGAGATGATCAATCTGTAATGATACTCGCGTGCATCCATCAGAACTCATCTAGGCAACATACAATCTGTTTCATTTGGACTGCCTCAGCCAGGATGAAACTCATTCTGGTGCATAAAGCCCAGCATCACTAGCTTTGTGTATCTCTCATCATTAACCAGAGATTGAGCTTTACTTTGTGATGGTAGTACAGTAATTTCTATTATGGACTTCTGCTATTTAAGAATGGTATGCAGGGTGAGTAGACTGCATTGTTCATGCATTGGGATGCTTGACTTGAACTTTTACAGTAAGTTTTGCTTGATTTATTGAACTAAAAATTAATTGAACGTTATTAGGAATGAAAGAGATTAAAATGTAAAGTTAATAGTTCTCAGCATGTTTACAATGACCTGTGCTGCAGTGCCTGAAACTGTCTTTTATCCCACTCTGCTGTGCTCTACAGGGCAGACATGTAGTGCTGCAGCATAGCTTAGTTCCAGCACGTTTTAATACCTTTTTGGTCACTACTTTCATTCTAGAATGTACCAATTGTATCGATCTAATCTACACCTGTTTCACTAGAGCCTGTTTATAATGTGCATGATTGTTGAACTGTCTTGTGCATCTGATAAGATTTAAGATTTACAGCACCATTCAGCAGTAATTTATGTAAGATGATTCAAGATTTTTCTTGGTTCATGAACCTGGTACAGTAATAGTCTTGAAGGACAAACAGCAGCTGCCTAGGCAAAAACATTTGAAAAATGTTTAGACTTTTGGGGACTAAGCTATTGCAACCACAAGCTGATATTGGATTATTTTAAAAAAAGGTAACCTGGAAAAGAAAATAAAGGTATGCTCTTTTTTGCTCCTTTATGATGTGTAAAGAAGACCTGAAGCAATTTTAATAGAGCTGGGAATTTTGTATTGATTTTTTTTTCCAGAAGATGCAGGTTCTGAAAAACTGAAATCTTGCAAACTTTTTCCCATTAGGAAAATCTAAACAAAATATTATGTTTCAGGTTGAACTGAATAGAAGCATTTTAGTTTGAACCAATCAAAACATTTTGTTATGGGTCAGTTCAACATTAATATATGTGTGCGTGAGGTGCCATGTTGCCTCATGTGAGTTCTAGTTTGGGTGCCACGTGCCCTCATTTTTTTTCTGTGGGCTGGGCTTCTGGGCTGGCCTACATCTTCCATGATTCACCAGGGTCTGACCTCTTGTTGAATTGATATGATGTGTTATGGGAATGGCATGAGCAAAGAAACTCATGGGAAACGTAGTCTGGCCGGGGAGCCCGGCCTCTGGACACAAGGCACTCAAACTACAGCAAGTTGTAGCACATTATACCAAAGCAGGTCAGGAGGACACCGATTAATGTTGAGTTGAGCCAAAATTAAGCATTTCAATTCCAGAATGTCAAAATGTTTAGTTTTGATCAGAAATGTCAAAATGAAACATTTTGAAGCAAATTTTTGGAACTCAATCCTGTGAAAAATTTTCTTTCAATTTTTCATCCTGATTTGGGAAAACAAATTTCCAAATATTGTACTAGAATTTTCCATTGGATGAAAATTCTGATTTTCTATCAGCTCTAGATTTTTAAATTTTCAGGGTTTTTCAAGGTCACCTTCTGTTGAAGCTTAACTAGCCATAAAGAATCCAACTTGATTCTCAGATCTAAGGCTAAATTTGCTTGGATGGCAATTAAGGAAAAATATTTGTAAACTGAGTATATTTGATATGAAATCATTAGATGATAACTGGAGAACCTCACAATGCCATTGTTGCACAGTCAGTTTTCATAGAACCATCATGCTTTGAGAGAGACACAATTTTTAAACGATCTACTTAAAAAAAAATAGAAAAATTGTCATGGTGTATGCCATCCTCCTTCAATAGTTTACAAATCAGATCTCTACTGACATATGATCAAAATAGCATCCCCTGATTCTACTCTTGTTGCTTCTCTCAAGTTACTCAAGTCCCTCAAAATATATGATTTTCTATTTCTCTCTCAACAGATTGCTGGTTGGAGCACCTCGGGAGAGAGGCTTTCCATCCCAGCAAGCCAACAGAACTGGAGGGTTGTATAGCTGTGACATTACATCCCCAGAGACGCATTGCACACGTGTCCTCTTTGATGAGAACGGTAGTCTCTTCCATATTTTTCTTATCAGATGTAGGCTTCAATGGTCTTTCCCACTGAATATAGCATCTTTCTTAAAATCAGTGATCACAAGGAAAACTTATTCTTATCCTCTTTAAATGCTTTTCTTATTTTTTGAGTGAAAGCAAGTCTTAGCTTAATTGCTAAAACAATATTGATGACTTTGAATCCAGATGTTTTGCTTATGATCATGTTCTTCAGTAAGTGTAAGTTATATCTTAATTAAAAAACACACACACAACAAAATCCTTTTTCATTGATATAACTAATCCTCCTCATCAATTAAGGTTTTGTTGTATGGGTAAAGTGTATAGAGAGTGCCACCTAAAGGCTGTTTCAGGTACTACATGGAGTTGTTAACAAATACTGAATTAAAATTAACGAGGAGTCCTTGTGGCACCTTAGAGACTAACAGATTTATTTGGGCACAAGCTTTCGTGGGCCATAACCCACTTCATCAGCTGTATGGAGTGAAAAATAAAGTGGGTTATGGCCCACGAAAGCTTATGCCCAAATAAATTTGTTAGTCTCTAAGGTGCCACGAGGACTCCTTGTTGTTTTTGCTGATACAGACTAACATGGCTACCCCTCTGAAACTGGAATTAAAATTGTATTTTTATAATCAAAGCACAAAATGTTCTGACAAGAGTTAACCATAGTGTGTAAAACTGTGTTGTGATAATGCAGCTGATCCAGCAACGGAGAGTAAAGAAGACCAGTGGATGGGTGTAACTGTCCAAAGTCAGGGGCCAGGAGGAAAGGTGGTGGTAAGTCTATAGGACTTGAATATTTATTAGTATTTGTTTAGGCTTATGCTGCATGTTTTAAAGTTATCTGCTTTTCTATACCTTTACAGAACTCTTTCTACGTTTTGTTGCTATTAGGTTCCCAAACATAAGGAATTAAATTTTTTCATAGAGGAATGAGGCACTGCAGATAGTCTGTAAAGTTTTTTTTTTTTTTCCCCCCCATCATGACATCTCAGAAAACAGCAGAGTTTTTGAATGTTTTTCTAATTCTCTGAATTTTGAATTGGTTTGATTTCATGATCCCAGTAATCTAGGGTAGACAGTAGATACTAGTAAAGCATCTCCGTGGCTGGTGTTAAAGTGTGGCTTTAAAATGAAAGAATAAAGTACTTTTCAATTTTTAAAAAATTGTATCCTTCAAATTCTTTTGTATGAGTTTGGGAGAAATGTCACATTTTTCTTGGACTTGTTGTCAGTATTAGTAAATACAAACATCCGTCTGAGGCTCACCATGGGTGAGTGATAACTACAAAGGAATTGATGGCCTCTAACAGTGGATCTGATGATTGTTTTCACTCCAGGATTGTGGAGTGAAATCACTTTTTGTAATTCTACTTTCTGTTAAAGATGCTAATGATGATGAGTCAAATACCCTTATTTTCAGTGGTGCAGAGGGAAGAAACTTTCATAAGATACCACAGAATGATGCCATAGATCTTTGTATCTTAATGCTCTTATTGCTAAATACACTACTTATGGTAGTACAGTACATCAGCTATGGATCAGAAATGGGGGCATGGTGAGGAACCTTCCCCCATGTTGCTATGCTCATGCAAAACTACCGCTTCCAACCTTACCCTCCAGAATTGTTTGCAGTGGCGTTGTAGCCACCAGTTTCAGGATATTAGAGAGACAAGGTGGGTGAGGTAATATCTTTTACTGGACCAGCTTCTGTTGGTGAGAAGGACAAGCTCTTGAGCTCCACAGAAGAAGAGCTCTGTGGAGCTCAAAAGCTTGTCCTTTTCTCCAACAGAATTTGGTCCAATAAAATATATTACCTCCCCTATCTCGGCTCTCCCTTACCTCCAAAACTGTTAGTTAGTAATGCTGCTGGAGGCAGTATTAACTTGCATGGAGGGAGGGGCAAATTCACCTTGTCATCAACAGGGAACCAGTGACAACCTGGCTTCTGCACAAACCATGCTGCCATTTCTGGGAGAAGCAAGCATGCCCCCTGCCCTCCAACCTATGTGAAATGTTGAGTATGTGCATAGTAGTGCTGTGATCTGCAAGGTTTCCAATAACTTTACATGAGTTAGCACAGCCTATGTGGTGGTGGTATTTTTTCTTCCTGCCCATCATGCAGACATTACAAGAGGATGTGACTCAACTTCTGAGTCTCTGTTGTCAATGTTCTTGGAGACATAAGTACCTAGTTTGTATGCTTACTGTTGCTAGGGGAGCATGTGGCTTATAGAGAATGGCCTTCTCGTTATTTGGCTTTAATGATAATTTTGCAGGAAAAAAATACGGAAGGCATAAAATACTTTGCTTATCTACAGTATCTTTGTTTTCCTTGCAGACATGTGCACATCGCTATGAGAAAAGGCAGTATGTAAACACAGTTCAGGAATCGCGTGATATCATTGGAAGGTGCTACCTGCTGAGTCAGGATCTCACTATTAAGGACCCTAAGGATGATGAGTCTGCTATGGATGGTGGAGAATGGAGTTTTTGTGATGGGCGACTGAGGGGCCATGAGAAATTTGGTTCATGTCAGCAAGGTGTAGCTGCTACTTTTACTAGAGACTATCATTATGTTGTATTTGGTGCACCAGGAACTTATAACTGGAAAGGTATGACCCTCTCTTCTCCCATTCTAGATTTTTCAGCATTTACCCCGGTTTTGTAAATGCTAAAGTATTAGCTGATGTCACATTAAAAACTTGTAAGGCAGAGCTCCCCAATGTATGGGTGCGCCCTCCTGATCGGGGCACAGAGGAACGTTTGGGAGGGTGTGGCAGGGGCCCGGGGCCAGCCCCCATGAGGGGTGGGGAGGGAGAGCCACCCAGCCCCGCTCCTGGCCCCGGCCCTGGCTGCCTGCCTGGGGATCCACTTCCAGCCACAGCTGCTGGCCCTGCGCCCATGGTCCCAACTGCTGGCCTTGACCCTGGCCAAGGCTCCGCTCCTGTCCCCTGCCTCCAGCTATGGCCCCAACTTTGGCCCCCTTACCCCGTCTGCATTCTTCCCCCCCCCCCCCCGGAGTCGTGGCCCCGCTCCAGGTCTCGGCTCTGGGCGGGCACGAGATAAAAAATTTGGCGACCAGTGTTGTAAGGGGAATTTTAAAAAATTGGAATAGCTAATGGACGGATTAGATAAGTTAACATGCTGTTGTAGGAAACCCCTACCTCACTGGTCTTAATTTTCATGCAGGATTCAGTGCTTGTTTCAAAGGGTGGAACTTTCACACTGAGTGTGTATATACATATTTTTAGCATTATTTTGCCAACATCTCATTTTTCTGCATTTGAGCAATTATTCAGACTAATGTCTGCACTAAAACTTTTATCCTAATTGAGATCATTCTTTTGTGTTTGTGACATCAGTCATCTTTTGTAGAAACTGGGGGTACCTTTCAACATTTTTAAAACCTGCAGCCGTGAGTCTCAGAGCCTGGGTCTTCAGACTCAGGGTGGGAGGGCTCGTGCTATCCTGCTAAAAACAGCAGTGCAGAAGTGTAGGCCCAAAGCCCAGGGAGGTGGGTGAGTTTCGGAGTCCAAGCTCCAGCTCGAGCCACAACGTCTGGACTGGCCCGTCCGCCTATGTCTGTAGTCAGTCTCTGAAACTTGCTGCTGCAGGTTTTTAAAACTCAGTGTAGACATACCCTAATATATCACACATTCAATATGGCAGGATCATGGGAAGATGATTGCAGACAGAGCAAATATTTAAACATTCAAGGGCAAATCCTTATGTTTTTACTCCAGTTAAAACTCCGTTGACTTTTAATGGGTGTTCTGCCTGAGTAAAAACTAAAGACTGTGGCAACTGGCACATATCACCTAGCAAATGTTGCAAAACTCAAAAATCTATCCATTATTTTTCTATCCTTTGGTTTATGTTGAGAAATTTTCAAATGCCCGGCCTGTTTTTTTTTTTTTTAAAGGGTATTTCTTTTTGCACATCATTACACCAATAGGTGCAAAATACTTCCCTCCCCCTCCTTTAGAATGCCTGTCTGATCTTTGACTCCTGTTATACAGTGTTCTTTCACACACCTGTGTCTGGCTATGAACCATGCAAAATATTTGAGTTAAGCTCTGGCACAAGGTATACTTTTTGTGAAGACTTAATCTTCCAAATATCTGTTTCTGTCAAGAAAATTTGAACAAGCTGAAAGAGCATATTGAGTTCAGAGATTGCTTTGTTAATTGCAAAGAACTGCTATGGCAGTACATCAGTTTTATGAATATGCTTTTCCATATCATGGAAAAACATGTCTGTGCTTGGCAAACTGTTAAATATGCCTAACTAAAGAGAAGCACCCATTTTGATTAGTGTGAGATGTAGCTCTTTTTCTCTTAAAAAAAGGATGTTACCTAATTTATATTATTGGCTGCATTTAGTGATAATTTGATAGTAAAATTACTCTCAGTATTTTGAAATCTTGTGGATCTAGAAGCTTTCTCTATAATGCCTTTGCTGAAAGGGTGAAATGATACGCTGAGTGAAGAGGGTTGATGATCAGTTTATTCAGTGTTTTTGTTGACAAATTAAATAATGTATACCATATTTTCCAGATCATTGCATGGCACCATAAAGTTGCTGCATCATGAGACTCATATGTATACAATACCATGAGATTTTAAAACATAACTTCAGGCTGTGTGCTATTCTTCCAATTCAAACATGATCACAAGGACAATGTTGCTAATGTCAATCAGGAACCATATATCTATTATTTTTCTCTCTTGTCATTCATCCATTTTTATTTTACCATTTCATTCCTTCAGGGGTGGTTCGTGCAGAGCAAAAGAATCAAACATTTTATGCTTTGGATATCTTTGATGATGGGCCTTATGAAGTTGGTAGTGAGAGTCGCCGAGCTGAGAATCTAGTTCCTGTTCCAGCTAACAGTTATTTAGGTAGGATTAAGCACAGATGGTAAAACTCTTCAGACTTCTTGAACACTCACTATCCAAATGGTGTGCAATACCATAAAATACAAGCAGAAAGCAATTATTTTATGCCCCTCTAAAATGCAACCCATATTTGGTCATTCACATCCTCCTCTACATTTACGGGCTAGCGTGAAGTATAAAATGATACTCCGTTGAGGTACCTATAAGAGCTACAAATGTAATGAGACATTTAAGAGCTGTGATGAGGACCTGCAAATTCTCAGTATGTGGTTATAATCACTCTCTAACAGTAAGTACTGTCTGTGGATTCATACTCCTAGATCACATGGCCACCAGCATGTAGAATTGGGAGCTGTAGTAAAGCCTGAGTTTCTGAGAATAACTGTTAAGTCAGCATTGTGTGTGTGTGTGTGTGTGTGTGTGTGTGTGCTGAGAGCATAAACATTGCACCCAACTACCAGTCCCTTAACTCCTAAGGCTTCTTTGTACAGCTAATGGCTGTCTTAAATAACTCAAATATAACATGGCAATTACAGATACGTTTTTAAAAGCTTTAATCATTAGCATGGATTGACACTGATAAAAATGTAGTGTGATTTTCATGATGAAAAGCAAAAGAAAACTGTCCTGCTTAATGCAAACAATGAAAAAGAAAGGCCAAATGAGAGGTGCTATTGCAAACCAGAAAGAATAAAGGCTGAATGGGATCTTTGAAAAACTGAATAGTGTCAAGAGAAAGAAGTGTCTTTCTGCTCCAAATGCTGATTTGTGTGACACTTCTACACCAGTACTCTTTACGTTTGCAATGGGTTTAACCACGTGCTAGTAAAATGGAGCCAGAATAGCTGGTGATGGGAAGAGAGAGGGATTAATTCTTAGTATCATGTTGGGGAGAGAGCATTGCCAAGGAGAGAGCCACTTAGAGTGAAGAAATGAAAGTGAGAATGAGACTTGTTACAAGAAGAAATAGAACATCAGTTGCAGTTAAATAGGAATCAGATCAAGAATTTGTAGGTGCTGGGGACCATAAATAGTGATGGTAGAGAGATGAATTCATAGCATTTCTAAAGATCTAAATGATCCATTTGGATTAGGCAGGAATGCCAGGGCTAGGGATGTTATGAAGGAGCTTTCATGCTGTTGTGAACAGAATAAGACTGCAATAAGCATGACAATAGTATTTTTGTCTTCCTGTTCATCAGCATTAAATTTTCATAACAAGGCTAATGTTGCATTTATATCCTGGAGGCTCTGTCACTCTAAAAACTCCTTTGCTTGATTTGACATGTCGTTGGAATCAAATTAACTTCCTCTTTCATTGGTAAGTACTGCAGTGCCAGCCTGGCATTAATTGGCAGTTGCTGTGCCCTAGGTTATATGTGATGTGCAGTTATTTTTACTGCCTAACTACCATATTTTTCTTCTTTGATCTCTTCCCCCCCATATATGTTCACAGGTCTTCTGTTTTTGACAAGTGTGTCTGATACTGATCCTGATCAGTTTGTATACAAAACATTGCCTCCCAATGTAAGGGTGGACAAATCCACTGGTGTGATGATGAATAGCTACCTAGGTTTGTTACCTGAGGTGACAGTATATATGGTCTTGGTCATACCTTTTGTGTGTGTGTGTGTGTGTGTGTGTATCCAGACTTTGACATAATCTTTATTTATTTAATTTTCCCCCCATTTCAAATTCATTCAAGTAAAAGCATGTAACAGCAGGGATTCAGATGAAGGATAGCTTATAAAGTAAGGGGCTTTGGAGAGGACTTGATCTGTAATGTAGCTCTCAAAATATACTGTAGCCTTCTTACCAAGCTTATCTGAAACTCTGTCTTATTTTTGTAATTGAGAATCGGAACGGCAGTGGTGAAGGATACCAAGAAAAGGAGACTGGGGGGCTTGATATTTACTTCCCTTCTAACCTAGATTTTTCCTCACAGTTTGTATGACTTTTGATATTTAGATTTATAGCACAAATTCATGCATTATCCTAATATATGTATGCAGTAATTCTGTTAAAATATGTAAAATAATAATTCAGTGTATTAACTTTAGAATTTAAACTGAATATTTAGGACTGCATGCTTTTTAAAATTTCCTTTATAGACATAATTAGCAAGTTACTGCTGATTTCACCACTACTGTATACAGCAGATTCTCAAATACTGTCTAACATTAACATAAAATATTGTGCTTGTACAATGTTTTGCATGTTTATAACAGAAAATAACATTTGTATGAAATTCATAATTGTTCATTCTGTTAGAGGCTAAGTACTTAAGCTCTATTAAAGTGGTTAGATTTATTAAATTGGTTTTAAGTTATAGTTTTTTTAAAAATATCCACCATAACCATGTGTAGCGTCTGTAAAATGTACAGATGGTTGGTGTGTTTGCGTGCATTTACACGCACATTATAGACACACTATGGATGTGTTTTTGTATGTATCAGATTTGTTTGACCAACCATCTGTACATTTTACAGACACTACACATGGTTATGGTGGAGATATAGAGACATGTCTGTTGTAATAAAAACTTTCACTTAGGGTCTTTTCTTTCTACAGACATTACATGGATATATGCTTCATATCATTCTATATTCACACTTGTGTACTATTTCATTTATAAAGTGTTTATTGTTATAGCCGATTTAAAAGTAAATGAAATTGGTAGCATGTAGTGGATATACAGTATTTGCTAAGCTTGGTTTCAGTAGTGCTACCAGGCACCACTTTAATATAGTGCATATATATTATTTTCAGCTCTAACAATAAAAAACTCTAGCTATTGGTTTTTGTTTTCTTTTGTTCTAGGTTTCTCTTTGGACACTGGTAAAGGTATCGTTTCCCAAGAAGAGACAACTTTTGTATCAGGTGCACCAAGAGCCAACCACAGTGGAGCTGTTGTTCTGCTGAAAAAAGATACCCAAATTCCGAGAGCACTCTCGCTTGTGCATATATTTGAAGGAGAAGGGCTGGCCTCTTCTTTTGGCTATGATGTTGCAGTTGTGGACCTCAACAATGATGGGTAAGGCTCTTGTTAAGCTCATGCTATTAAATCCTAGTTTTGTATTGCTGCAGTGCATTGTATGTATAGCGTACCTAAAGATGACTTGCAAATGGAGGAAAATGTGGAGGAATGGAGTTGTGTGCCCTTCCCCCTGACTTCCAGTTTGCTTGTTTTTTCTGTTTGATTTTCACATTAGCAATATAGGGCATACTAAGTCTGGCTTCCTTTTCAGAGAAGTACACTGGCTGCGGTCTCCGAATTTATTTGAAGGGATGTGACTATTGAATAGTTTAGACTTCTTTTCTACTCATTGTTAGAGCAATCCAGCTAGATGAATAGTTGACTGAAACTTGAATAGGTAATATGTAAAAGAAACCAAGCAGAAAAAGAATCACATTCAAGCAAAAATCCTTTTAGGTCTTCTTTATACAGCACAGAAAAGAGGGGGAAAGCCACAAACTCAATTTGTTTCTTTAACAAAAATTGCCAGGTTAATTTTTCACCAATTTAACGTGCTTCCTAGTGACCTTTGCTCAGCAGCTGCCTCTTTGTTTGACCAACTTACTTACATTATATTCAGCCTGTAGTTTTTAACTTGCCAGGAATTTTCACTTATTTCTCAGAATTCTTTTAAAATTTCTGTACTTTGTTTCATTTAAAGTTGGCAAGATATTGTTGTTGGAGCCCCACAGTATTTTGACCGAGACGGAGAAATTGGGGGTGCTGTGTACATCTACATTAACCAACAAGGCAGATGGGAAGGGGTAAAGCCAATTCGCCTCAATGGAACCACTGATTCTATGTTTGGTATTGCAGTTGAAAATATTGGTGATATTAATCAAGATGGATTCCCAGGTGAGAAAATTGACCTTCGAAGATGAATGTCCATATATATATATTTTTTTTCCTAAAACTAGATTCAGAGCATCTTACTTTATCATGACTGTAACCATTCATTGGGATAACATTTAGCTAAATCTCCTAATTCCTTTTCAACAGATATTGCAGTGGGGGCACCATATGATGATTTTGGTAAGGTGTTCATATATCATGGATCCAAGAATGGAATAAATACAAAGCCAGCACAGGTAATTAAACACCCGTTACCACCTGTGCTCAGCCTTGCAGAGCATTATAAGCATCAGAAGTTTTGTTCCACAAAAGAATATAATACTGGGCAACCTCCACAATAGGCATTGCTCTGTGCACTTTCTGCCGGCCCAGATCCTCGGCTATAGCAAAGCTCAAGAAGGTGTCTGCGCAAAAGTGGCTTTTAGCTCCTTTTTCTGCTTCCCCCAATCCTGGACTGGCTGTGTGTTAAAGGAACCTGAGGATTCCCAGGAAGCCATTGTGGCACACAACAGTCACCAGGGCACAGGGAAGCCCAGCCTTATCCTCTTTGCTGGCAGCAGGGAGGGGTGATGGTAGAGGATATATCCTGGTGCTTAGATACCACAGTGATGGGAAGCTGCATAAAACCCTGAGATCGACATCTAAGCTACCCAATGATCCCACTACACTGGTACGATCTTCCTGGCTGGCTACCGTGGCTTTAGGGTTAATTTGCACTCCACACAGTGGCCATATTGCAATGCACGCTTTGTGCCAATCTGGCCTATAATATTTAAGGGCCAAATTCAGACTTTCCTTGCATCTGCCAGACCTATGGTCTGGAACGGGAGCAAGTGCCACCTGAAAAGAGTACTTCTTCAGAGGCATGGTATTTTGGAAAAGTGCAAGTCATCTGCTGCTTTTCCATAACTGAGAACACAGGTTCAAAAAGGAAGAGTGCAAGTGAGCATGTTCTATTCACCAGCCAGTTATATTTTTCTCATGCTGGATTCCCCAAATGGTGGAAACCCAATGCACAAACAGAACAGAGGAAAGGAACATGTGGATTTGTATGTCCCACTTCTCCAGATTTCCTAGATTTTTGGAGTATAAAGCAATGATAATTACTTAAATGTCTTATTCCCAACAATCTGTTTGTTTTTAGATTCTTGATGGCAAAAAATCCAGTGTTCAATATTTTGGTTATTCTGTTACTGGAAATATGGATCTTGATAGAAACTCCTACCCTGATATTGCTGTTGGGTCACTTTCAGATTCTGTCTCTGTTTACAGGTGTGTACTGTATATAGTATTTTAACTAAATCTAGATTGGTTTTCTAACGAACTGCTTTGAAGAGATGAATGGTTTGATTCAGGTTTGTAATGCATTTTTTTTCCTCCAGAGGTTGAAAATTGTGCTGGGGAAGAATACACACATATCAGTCTGATCTCTTTTGGGTATGTCTACACTGTACACTTAGCCCAGGCTCTGACTCAGAGTTGAGTCCAAACCACCCTTCCATCCACACACAAATCAGTTTGACTTGGATCAGCAAGCACCCCCCCTCCCCCAAGATTTGAAAGTATCTTGTCCCCTTATAGGTCCTTTGGGTCAGATGCCAGCCAGGTTACCTGAGCTTCTTAACCCTTTACAGGGAAAAGGATTTTGGAGTCTCTGGCCAGGAGGGATTTTATAGTACTGTACACAGGACAGCTGTTACACCCTTCCCTTTATAGTTATGACAGGGGGTGGGTCAGAGCCCAAGTCCCGCTGGGACTGAGGTCTAAGCTCTGTCATTTTGCAGTGTGGATGCTGCTCAAGCCACACACCTGGGTGAGAGGATGGTATAGAGCAGTATAGACACATTAGCATATTATTGCTTATTAGCATGGCTGTGAGAGCCAGATCCAACAACTAAACACAGGTTTACAAGGTAGTGTGAATGCTCAAGCATGGACTTGGAAACACTCAGTCCACAGGCCTGAGTCTCGCAAACCTGGGCTTAGTGTGCAGTGTAGACATACTCTTTTACAAAACTGGCTGAAAGATAACCTAACATCCCTGATGTTTAGCTTTTGTTATGAGTTTCTCAAGAAAACGTAGCAATGTTTAAGAGAACTGTAGATTATGAGCTCTTGGAATGATGCATGTAAGGTGGGATAATTATAGTGGCTATTGGGCAAATCCTGCATGCATGCATGCATGCCCATCATGACCAAGTAAGGCCTTAACACTGAGGAATCTGTGCATTTCTGCTGTGTGAGGGGCTAAGGGACTGAATTCAGAAAGCCCATGTAGGTAGCTCTTAAACCTGTGACATGTGGAGCTCTGCTCCATGGGGCTCCCTTCACATCAGTGTGCAAGGAGATACTGTGTGAGCGACAGGGTCAGTGGATCTGCTATTGCCTACCTATCATCCCTTGATTGGGGCAGGGACCACCTTTTACTCTGTACCATGTTGAGCATAATGTGGGACCCCCATGCTGACTGGGGCCTCTAGGTGCTACCATAATGCAAATAATTATAATCTTCCCCCCCAGGCTCTCTTGCAGATGCGGGTGCAGTAGATGTAGGGTGTACTGAAGCCCTCAGGTTACATTAGTGGCCACAGAACAGTTTGGAATCTGACCCCTTGCTGACCTCCTAAGCCTATAGCCTAGTTACTCAGGCTTTGCACTGGGGATAGGATTTGGCTGCAGAAAGATCTAATTTTGCCATTTAACGTAATTCCTGTCATCATACGGAACCACTAACACAAGTAGGAAGGGGAAACACTGGTAAGACTTTGAGGTCTGAGTCAAAAGTTTGAGGTCTCAGTCCTTATCTTCAAGGCACTCCTGGCCAAGGCTCAGGATATCTAGAAGATCGCCCCGGGATGAAGATCGTGTTTGACAACTCTGCTCCTCAGGACAGAACTTTCTTGGGGTCGGTCTGAGACTGGAACAAACTCGCAAAGGACCATCCCATCATTGACTGTGCCTTCTCTAATATAAGCATAGCAGCATGCACATAATTAAAAGTCCCTAAAAATACCAAGAAAAGTACAAAATCAAAACACTCGACTGCACCCACAATTCTCCCCCTTGGCAGAGGATGAGAGCAAAACCCATATGTGATGGACATTAGTCATGTCATACAATACTTGGTGTCTCTCAATACTATGCTGATGAGGGCAATCTAAGTACTTATATAAACAGGAGGTGAGGACACGAATCTGGTGTGGTGTAAAAGGGGTGAGTCAGTGAAAGAATTCCACTGAAATAAGCGCAGCTGCATTCAGCTTCTAAATATTCAAAAATGTACCTACTGGCCCTGTTCTGCTACAATTAATGGCAAAATTCAGAGTCATTTCAGTGGGAGCAGGGTTAGCCATTCTCTTCATCTGTGTAAACAAGCCTATTTTTAAAAAGAAAAGAAATGCACTCTTCTCATGTTTAAAACATAAAATAAAATAAAGCTGCTAATGCAGCATTATGCCAGCAATCCTACATGCATGAAAGTCAGGAAGTGAAAAATTATGTTTGTCTCAGCAGCCATAATTCAGCCATCCACACTGCACATTAAAGTTGACATATATGTTAATCTAAATGACTTCTGCTACCCACTGTATACACACAGGGTCTGAATTACAATTGCTGTAGGAACCATCACATTGAATTTCCTGACTTCTTGTGCATGTAGAATGACAACCATAACATTGCATTAACACAGAGATTTAAAAAACATTAATTCAAGTCATGACCTTCGTGGGTTTTCAGGGTTGTTCGGCTTCTCTACAAAATGCTGAAGAAGAGCTCTATTTTAAGCTCCAAAGTTTCTCTCTCTCTCACCAACAGAAATTGGTCCAATAAAAGATATTATCTCACCCACCTTGTCTCTTCAAAATGCTGTAAGTTTTATTTCTAACCTTTCTGAAACTCAAAACATTTCTTTGAATAGTACTAGGATGTAGGGAATCTTCACAGCAAATCAATGCAAGTATAAGAGTCTGCTGCTTCTGTTAAACTCAGAGTAACATGTAATTTATTTTACTAATTGTAACTTCCCCCCCTTTTCCCCCCCCTCTCCTCACACCTGTTCCCCCCCCTTCCGCCCCCCCCCCCCCAAAACAAAAGATCTCGGCCTGTTATAAGCATTAAGAAAACCATCAAGATATCTCCTGACAAAATTGACCTGAACAGAAAGTCCTGTCCGAAACCCAGTGGAATCTGGTAGGATATTTATTTTGTTGTAAGCTTTGGCATATTGAGTGCTTCATGTTTTCAGTGTAATGGGGATGGGCATGCGGACCCACTGAGCTGAAGGGAGGCATATGCAGTATGATTGATAGATGTGAAACATATTCTGATTTTTCTTGTCCAATAACTGGCTTTGCTTCTGAAAAGTAAGAATGGGTTTCCATTGGTTGCCATCTATGTGCATTTATTCCCTGTCCTGTAACTTTTATAATTTAGAGCCTGTAACTCTTAAAGCTTTATCCAGACTGGAAAACCTATTCATTGTATGGCAGATTCTTAATCAAGATCCCAAAAGGCAAAGGTTAGGTAAATAGGGGATAGGAGTAGTAGACTTCTTCAAGATGACATCATGTTGGGCAATAATAAAATTTTATCATACTCTTCCTTAGAAACTTACATTTTAAAAAGTTTTTAATATAACTTCAGTGCAAGAATGAAGTGGTTGGTGTAAATGTGTATTGGTCCCATGGTGTCCCATGTGATCTATCACTCTCTGTTTCATTCAACATACATGCATGTTTTAGAGAGCCTGGGATGGCTTTTAATCACTGGCACTAAATGGAAGTTTAAAGACCAAAAATAAATAACTTTTCAATGAACATTGACACTTTGTAACAAACTAAAAGTGCAAACTACCAGAAGAAAAAGAACAGATCCTTTCAATCTGAGTAATACAAAGAAGGGCTTGATTCTTCTATACTTACTCTTAATGAAATATTGAGGCTGCCGGACCACTGTAAGAGGGTAGAAGGCATGGGGTGTACTGGTGGTAACTTGTGAGTTACATCCACAGTGAAGTATCATATGGGTGTTTTATATTAGGAAAGCTGAAACTGGAAATACCTCCCCATGTATAGAAAGTAAATTAGAAACCAATCTAGTTTTATAGAAAAACAGATCTTGATAAACATAATTTGGTGCCATTATCTCCTCATGCACTGGCTTTTTATAAGGTGCTCTACAAATAGTGACAGTCACAAGAACCAATTATCTACTTTAGATATTTAATAGCTAGAACTTTCCAAGTGGAAGAAGACTTCTGTAGTAAAGACCCATTAGCAGACATTAAATAAATAAAATATGTTTTACATCCTGCTGCGGCACCAGTGTAAATGATTACACTGGATGCAGCCAATAAAGAATCAAGACCATTCATGTTAAACAGTCAGACTAAATATTTCCTACCCAATCACTGGCTCAGGTTTCAGTCTCCTGTAGTGTCATAATCCAATTAGTTCTCCAAGAGATCCTCCAGCAAATAGAGAAAAGACAAGATTTTTATTTATTTAAATGTGAAAAATAATTTGCTTTTGTAAAAACTTCTTGAAGCCTTTTTTTATTTTATTTTATTTAAAATATCTGAAAGAGTAAAAGAGAGAAGCACTTTTTCTTCTGGCTTTGTAATTTACCATTCACTGAGAAGCAAAATGCCAGTTCTGTTAATTCATATAATATGAATCATATTGTAAAAGCCAGGACAACGGACAGGTGACTGTATTGTTTAATGAAATATTCAAACTTTCAATCTGTTGGATCATCACTTCTTAACATTAATTTTAAATTCTTGACTCTTTACAGCATGGATGTTGAAGCATGTTTTGAATATATTGCTAACCCCAAGGACTTCAATCCAAAAATAAGTAAGTAGTTATGACTGTTTATCTACTTGTCATGAGGTTTTTTATTTGCTTGTTTTTTAAGGCTATTCAATGTTCTGGAAGAACAAAGCTGTGGTCAATAAAAGTTATCTGCAGAGGCAGGTATGTAAATGATGTAACACACTCACGCTGTGTCTGCCAAATCTAAAATGTAATTCAGCACATGCTGCCAGTACTAGCTGTCACTTGAGAGCTGTAGCCTGAGCTAACAGAAGTGTAGCATTCTGTAGAAATGTAATTAAGTTGCTTGGGTGAAAGCTAGATTTTGACTGGTTCAAAGCCGTGTAGTGTGTGCCAACAAACACTCCCAGAAGAACTGTAAAGCCTATTCACACACCAGTGTCACTCCATAAAATATAAAGTTTTAAAATCCTGTTTGATAAGTAGTATTTGCTGTTTGTCGAGGGACTTTTCCTACAAACTTACTACTACGGGTGTTCCTCACATGAATGGTTCCTTGGGAGCAGCAATTGGGAGTAAGGATTACTTGCGTGTGTAAGGATTTGGAGGCCTGTGCAATAAACTTATAAAAGTTTAAGAGACCAATTTCAGATGTTTTCTATTTTTTCTTAAGTGACCAAAATACTGCTTTTGTTGTACCTTGGGAAGGTGTAGGGGTTGTGTTTGTTTGTTTGTTTGTTTGTTTTTTTGGGCGGGGGGGGGGGAATGTTACATGGGAGGGCTTTAAAAATTATTTTTTCTTCTGACTCCTCATCTCCAGTCTGTGTTTATTGGGGACAAGCAGCCAAATGCCCAAGGAACTGCTTGAGTACAGCACTCTAATGCTGAGTACGGCACAGATCCTGCAAACACATGAGTAACTTTATGCTCATTAGAAGCCCTGTTGACTTCAGTGACTATACATACCTAAGCATAAGTGTTTACAAGATTAGAGCGTATCATATCTGCTGCTTAGCCAGGCCCTGTAATATTAATTCAGCTCTGTGGGTACAGGGTAGATTAAAACTGAGCAGGGTCTATATCTACCAAAACCTCATGTGGCTAGAAGGGCACTGACTTGCATGGTGGCTTAGATACCACAGTCTCTATATAAATACCTAACAGTGGATGCTGTTGTCTCATCCAGCCAGGTGCTTGTGGGGCACATCAGGGAAAAAAGAGAAAGTTTATGTGGGGCCTTCACAATGTTTTGTGTTCCAGCCTTGCCTCTGCTGGCTATGCAGTGTATTTACCATTTGTATTGTCACAGCAGTGTGCACATGGGGGACAGGAAACTTTTCTTTAAAAAAAAAAAAAAAAAAAAAAAAAAAAAGGGGCAGCTTATTAATTGTGAAAGCTCCTTTTGGACATGTGCAGGGAAAGGGAAGCTGGCTGTCAAATGGGAAATGGCCAAAACAGGCAGATAATTAAGGTTATGTTTCAAAGATGGCTTTGCAAACAAAGGAGAGTAGTTAATAAGCCCATTACTGGACAGTGTGTAGTTCTCCTGGCTAATATGACAAGCCCAACTCATAAATTAGCATTCTTAGTGCTATAATATTTCCTAATTGTAGTTCTGTATTTTCCTTTTATTTTTGATCTAGAACTTAACTATACTTTTGAAGCTGAAAATGACAGGCGGCGGTTAGGCCTGCCATCTCGAGTTCAGTTTTCTAAGCATCTGTCTGAGCATCTGTCTGATCAGTTCATTGGACATATAATTCTAGGAGGACAGAATAGAAAAGAATGTGTGAAAACCTCTCTTGTGATGCAGGTAAAGTGATGGGAGAGTATTTTATTTTTGATTTATACCCAATAGAAAAACTTCTATCCTGGGCACCAGGTACCTTTTGACATAACTTTAAAGTATGACATACAAGATAAAGCCAGCACCACCTTCTTTCTTCAAATGTGTGTTGGGGGGGAAACAATCAGAAGAAACAAAATCAAGCTCAAACTGACCCTGACTCTCTCATGAATGCTATCTCCTACCTCCCCAAAAGCCTGAATTAAAACATATGAGCCTTGTAGTGTGCCCTGAAGATCAACAGACTGAGGCTTTCAGAACAAAGGAGAGGGAGTAAATTACAAAACTGAGGACCCTCATGGAAGACCTGTACACAAGAACAATGGCTACTCCTAGGGGAATTCTGCACACACACACACACAAAATTCTGTGCACAATATTTTAAAATTCTGCATATTTTGTCAAAATAACACAATATAATCATGCCAGTTTCAATTATTTTGGTAATTTATTTCAAAATATCTGTCAGCAAGTAGGTCTGTAACAATACAGACCAAAAAAAAAAAGATTCAGGAAACTCTTTTTGACAAATAGACTCCTTACTAAGTACATTAATACATAACTTTGAGTAATAATTAATTTAAAGTAGAATACAGAAACATATTTCCTGCACCTCTCAGAAGCCGAGCGAAGACTTGGGGGAGTCAGAGGTAACAGAGGAGCTGCGGGAAAGAGAAGGAATCTGGGAGTGAACCTGGAGGGTTGTTGTGTGTGGGTGGGAGAAGTATGGAACAAGTTTATTTGGGGAGAAGGGATTGTTACGGAGTTAGGGAGCCTCCCTCATGCAGACCCTGGCTGACCTCTAGCCTCTCCCATTCAGTCAACCACATCTGCCCCCATCCCCTGCTGCCCCTCCTCTCCCTGTCTCCATGTGGCCCTGCAGCTCCCTTCCCATTCAGTCCCTGGCTCAATGCTATCACTCCACTGGCTCCTGAGTCAGCTCCCCAGTCTGTCCCTCCCACTAGCCCTTCTGAACCCCACTCTGATTTCCCCAGCAGCCCCATGTGCCCCCTTCTGTCCCTCCCGTGTCTCCTCACCTGACCCCCCCCCTCCCCCCCCCGTGAGGAATCAACCTTTCAGCCAATGGCCGGCTGCTGTCTCTTCTGGTGCCACAGCCACCCCTGGTGGGTGAAAGGCATAATTGCATTGCCTCTCCAGCAGAATCTATATTCTGCGAAGGGAAAAAAAAAAATCTGCGGAGACCATGAATTCTTTACATATGCAGTGGCACAGAATTCCCCACAAAACTAAATAGCCTTGGGCATTTAATGCGGTTCCTAGTGGATGGAAAAAGGATTGTTATGGAGGACATTGTCCATTATAAATTTATTTTCCTGGAGGACTCTACCATGGGGCTGAGTGTGAGGGGCAGGAAAATGATCTTTGCACTCCAGGCCTAGTCTGCGACCAAGCAACAGCCTTGGAAGTGTCACTGTTGCAAGCCAATTTTTGCTTCACTTTTCCTTCCACAATTGAATGAATCCTTTACAGCTGTGGTTTTCAACCTGTGGACTCTTGGTGAACTGCAGACTATGTCTCAGGGGTCTGTGAAAGGTTGCCATTACAATAGAACAGTGGTTTTCAACCTGCGGTCCATGGATTCCTGGGAGTCTGCATACTAGGTCTATGATTTCCAAAGGGGTCTGCACCTCCATTTGAAATATTTTAGGGGTCTGCAAATGAAAAGGTTAAAAACCACTGCTCTGGGGGGGGGAGGGGAGTATGTCCACTGTTTCCTCTTCTAGTGGGTGGTTATTAAAGATATGATGCTTACCTCTGTGTTCCCAGATGTTATTCCTAGTGATCATTACCTGTGAGAGAAATCATTCGTGAACCAATGGGCCGGGAGTTCAGATGGCCCTTACCAGCATGTCTGTTGTTAATATTCTTTAAGTCAATGAATACATTCAATTTTTTTCCCTTGAGAAACATAGTGAAAGCATCTTGCTTGCACTCTAAACAAAACAGAATATATATTGCTTAGTTACCAAATCTAGTGGGATTTTTTACACTGTGTATTAAATAAGCTATTTCAAATGTTTAATAGGAAAATATCAAAGATAAACTACGTCCCATTCCTGTATCGGTTGGCGTTAAAATCAGCGGCTCAGAATCCAATTTACCATCAAAGAGAAGACTAGGAAGATCACTTCCAGATCTTGTTCCAATTCTAAATTCAAATGAACCAGAAACAGTGAACTCAGAAGTAAGTCTCTTCTTGAATAGATCTTTGGCAGATGATGCAAAGTGGATTGTTAAGCCAACAAAACACAAAGTTTGTATGACAGAAGAGTGGACAGGTTGGGTTATTTGCATAGGTAATTAGTTCCAGAATAGTCTTTAATATTCAACTCCAATTCAGGAGTGTGTGTGTGTGTGCGCGCGCGCGTGCATGGCACATGCACTTGTATCAGAAGTCACTGAATTAAAGGCTGTAAAGAACTAAGCTATGACCAAAGAGAAGTAAGGATTATATGGGCTCTCATCACTTGTGGTAGCAGAAATTTAAAACGTGCTCCTGCATCCTCCTAAAACAGAAGTGAAGATGGCACAGCTGGTTAACACACTAACTTTGCACCCTAGAAGACTCAGGTTGAAATTTAGCTTTGGTCACAAGTGAAAATTAATTGAATTGTCTCATCCTTGTGAATGCGTCTCCCACATCACACGAGCACTACACAATTAATGTTTGCAGCGTCAGGGTACCCTGGAATGATTGTCCCTGGAACTTGGTGTTTGTCTACACTTCAAGCCAGGGCTGTAGTCCCCAGCTTGAGGAGACGTACCTGTGTTTGCTCAACTCCCATTAAAGTAATGAGCAGAAGAGGCACATATCACTTTGAAATAGTGGGCCCCAAACTGACCCAGATTTTGTATTTCCACATGACATGATGCTTTCACTTATCAGCAACAAGATAAATTTCCAGCAACGCAATAGTGTCCCCATCTCCTTACAGCTGAAAAGGTGAAGTCAGACTAAGGCCATGTCTGTGCATTGAAGGGTGTATGAAGTGTCTGTGGATCTGAACTAACTGTAGCATATGTCAGCAACTGTGTTTTGTTTTTTGAACATAGATTTTAGTATTGTCGTATGTCCTAAAATAAACTACTTTTGGTTTTATATAGGTGCAGTTCTTAAAAGAAGGATGTGGAGAGGACAACATATGTAATAGCAACCTAAAACTTCAATACAGATTCTGTACCAGAGAAGGAAACGAAGGCAGATTTGCTTATTTACCAATGTAAGACTTAATTTATACATTAGCAAAAATTAATGCGTTTGGGTGGATGTTTGGAAGGGACATGGTTTTTTTTGTTTTTGTTTTTCCCCCTAATGTGTGAGACTTGTTATATTTTGTTTCCATAGTGAGAACAATGTTCCGGTGCTTGTCCTCAAAGATCAGAAGGATATTGCGCTAGAAATAACTGTGACAAATAATCCATCAGATGCAAAAAATCTCCAAAAAGATGGTGAAGATGCCCATGAAGCTAAACTAGTTGCAACTTTTCCAGATAGCTTGACCTACTCTTCTTTCAGAGAGCTGAGGGCTTATCCTGTAAGTATTCCAGAAAACCAGGACAAAGGTACATTACATATATTTAAATACTTAATGTGTTTTGACTTCTGCACATCTTTAATTCAGGAAAAACAATTAACTTGTGGTGCCAATCAAAATGGTTCTGAAGCAGAGTGTGAACTTGGAAATCCTTTCAAGAGAAATTCCAATGTGAGTGGCTTGTTTTTCTTTTTTTAATTAAAGATGGGCCTAATATATAAAGTTAGATTCTGGACCTAGTCCTGAAGTTTCCCTAAGTTTAAGAGTGTTTATGTCTTTGGGGTTTGATTTGGGGCCTATCCCTGTTTTCAATGTTTCAGAATTCTATGATATATTTTTTTTTCATAAAACAAAGTTTGTGCTTACAAAAATATATTCACCTAACATCATACTGTATGGATTTTTTTCTTGTTTAGGTAACCTTTTATCTGATTTTAAGTACAACTAAAGTTAACGTTGACACAACTGATTTGGATGTTAATCTGAAGTTGGAAACGTAAGGTTTTTTGGTTTTACCTTTTCTCTTGGTGTTTTCCCATATACTTGTAAACATTAAGGAATGGCTTCAATTTGTTTTGTAAAGGTAATTTTACTGTAATGTGAAAACTGTTAAAATTTAAAATAAACACTGCCATTTCCTTTTCATTATAGAACAAGCAATCAAGTTAATTTGGCTCCAATTACTGCTACAGCTAAAGTGGTTATTGAATTGCTTTTGTCACTCACTGGGTAAGTGTTTATAGTTAGCATAACAAATCAATGTGAGAACGAACCCTTTGCTGCAACCCGTACTAAAATATCTGTGTTTTTTTTTTTTTAAATTGAACAGAGTTGCTAAGCCTTCCCAGGTGTATTTTGGAGGTAATGTAATTGGTGAGAGTGCTATGGAATCTGAAGATGATGTTGGAAATGTAATAGAATATGAATTCAGAGTGAGTTGATCTAGATTATTAAGAAATCATGATTGATTTTTTTTTTCTGACACTTGTGTTAATATAGTATTTTAAAATCTGGCTGATTCGAAGATGGCTGCCCTAGCACCCGAATCACCACCATTAACCACCTCCCTCTTCACTTCCACAACACACAACCTGACTGATCCATCAAGACTGGGGCTTCCTCCAGCCTTGAAAGTTCAGGTTCACACTTCCAAAAAGCATCTTCCATTTGTTTGTGTGCAGTCCCCTGCACCTACAATTTTCCAGCATAAACATCCATGCCTACAGGTAACAAAACTTACATACACAAAACCCATCAATGGTACGCCCAGTCTTAATGCTCAGAAAGTGTGTGCAGATATTTGTGCACATAAAGCTGAGCATCCACAAACAAGCTGTGTTGTGGCCCTTTTTGAAAATATGGCCGTGAGCTCACTCTCTTGGCCTTCTGCCTTTTAATTACTAAGACAAGATCTCATATCCACACATCTCAAATGATCTGCAGGTTCCTGAATGCTCCAGAGTTGGCAATGTAAATTTTTGCTCCTTGTATTTCCCTCCATCCACACATTGGTGCTCCATACTTGCTCATTCCTTTTTCTCAAGACTGGCTGCTCTTGCACCAGAACCACCCCCTTGTTCCCCACCTTCCAAAACACATCCTGACTGGCTGTGGTGTGTTTCGAAGCTGGAATCTTGGCCTCCTCTCCTCATACCCCCAGTGGACACATGATTAGGTTGTTAATTTGTGCATTCATGGTCTCTGTTTGAGGGTTGGAGAGAAGGGTTTCTGGGGAAGGGAAAGGAGCATGTCTCAAGTTCAGAAGCACCTAGATCCGTTTTCTTTATCATTCGTGTCCCTGCCTTGGGCTCCTGAAGACTTCCTTCTGCAGTTCTATTTAATTATAGCTGATGCAGTAATTAGAATACTCGTTGTAGTTTCTGTGGCTCAGTGATGACAAAGCTCTAGATATTGCAGCATTGCTCTCTGACTAAAAAAAAATCAACAAAAAACTACCATGCTTCTGGAGCAAGATGGACAGAAGTGTAATTCTGTGGCACTATAAGATGTTCCCTTATAGTTTAATCCTCCTGCTTGTCTATAACTGAGCACATTTTTGCTACTGCTAGAACGTTCTGGCTCCTGTTGCTGTCCTACAGGAGAAAGATCCCACTTACATTTTCAGACACTACTGGCCCAGGGAGCAGACATTCCAATTGTTCCTGCACTGGAAAACATTTTAACACTAAATATGGCTGCTATCAGCCAGGCCAGCCACAGTCTTTATATATGCTTTTGCTTACTTTATCACCTTTGTATTCTGTTCAGATCTCATAGACTAACTCTTGCAACTACTCTAGTTTTATTTTTATCAATAGAACTTTTAAATAAAATCTAGTTTCTCCTGATTTTGTTATACAGAATTGTATGCTAGATCATCCAGAACATCATGCTGTGATAATTTCTATAATTAGGAAGGTTAGCTACCTTTTATTTCCAATCAAAAGTTGTTTGGAAAATCCCAAATGTATGGTATCTTCGGAATTTGTGTTTTCCTGTGATTTTTCTTAATGCCAGAAAAACACTTCAACAAGTGTCAGTGCAGTGCATATAAAAACAATGTGTGGATTTTATATTTCTAACAGATAACTAACTTGGGTAGACCACTTAAAACATTTGGCACAGCTTCCTTGGACATCCAGTGGCCAAAAGAAATCAACAATGGCAAATGGCTGCTTTATTTGATGAAAGTAGACTCCAAAGAATTGGCGAAAATCCCTTGTGAACCTAAAAATGAAATAAACTTTTTGCGACTTAAGGTATGTTAATGTACTTTCACCTGTTTATAAGCAAGTTCATGTAACATTAAAGCACAACAGGGAGTGTGTTAGTAGGATACTGGTGCCTGCCTTGGAATGCTTTGCATCTTCAGTGACTCAAAGTGCATCAATATCCTATGCTAATTTACATCCTGCCATAGCTATTAGACTATGGCTTCTTCATTTTACATTTAAAAGCAAAGCCATTTTAAAACCTAACTTGTATTTTAATAAAGCAGTGTCCCCTTCCATGATAGAAAAACAGTTCATGGTGAAGAGATAAGGAAAAACAGGGCAACTATTTATACTTTTTTAAAGCTGGCTTCGATTGCTTGAACCTCTTCTTTTTCTTGTTCCTCATGAGCTCAATTGACCTTTTGCCAGCAGCCAGTTTAATCTCTGTCTCACCTTCTGCTGCAGCCCCTCTGGCAAAATTCATTTTGCTTTCAGAGGATACTTAGGGTTGGTACCCAAGTTAGATTTGCTAAGAGGGCCACAAAGTGCTGCCTGAAAGAGCTGGGATCCTGAAGGAAGGGAAGTTTTTGAAACTGCTAGACTTTGTTCTCAGCCTGCCCTTCTCTACTCTCCATCATCTTTTCACCCTCTCCAATAGCAAGCTTCAACTGAAGAACTGCCCATCTGCTCCTTAAACTCCAAGTATTGTTGCCAGGCTGTAGGAGAAGCCAGTGAGGAGAGTCAGGATCAGTGTTTTAAAGAGCAACACCCACATACCCTCTCAGCTCAGATGCAGTGTTCAGTAGCAGTAGAGAAGGGTCTGGGCTTCTTTTAACTTCAAAGTATACAGAGGAGAAAATGGGCAAGGAAGAGTGGGGAATGGATGGTTTGATATCAATGGAACTACTCACATTCTTAGTTTTATAAATGTCCAAAATGGAAAAAAGATTCCCCCCTCCCCTTTTATTCTGTCTGTTATAGTAATTTTCAGACAAAAAGAATCACACAAGTTTATGGGATTTCTTCAATAAGAAAATGTCTTTTTCTTCTATCATTTATTAATAATTTCACTTAACCCAATGCTTGCTTTAAAAGAGCTTTCAACAGAATGGGTGAAGAAGGACAAACCTAAGTGTCTGCTTTTACGCTAACATGCTCAAATAATTTTACTGAAATTTGGCATTATTTACCCAAGAACAAATGGTAGACAATAATAAACATCCAACCAGATCCTGTGAGCCCTTTGCACACATTGCTTGCATTGAATTCTGTGATAATCCTGCAATTTCCTCCACGTGAAACTAAGTCCATCTTTTATTTAATTAATTTATTTATTTATTTTTAAGTGGATATAAACCACAACTATAAAAGAACTTTTAAAGCTAGGTATATAAATAATCTCTTCACCATCCGAGTAGAATGGGATGCATAATGCATGCTTTGTTTTGTACATGTAATGTACTTCTAAAGTGTGTGCACCAAATTCTGTCCTCATTGATATCCTTGCAATCCCACTCATTTCAAACTGATTACATGTGTAATGGGTATAACTGAGAGCAGAATTTGTCTAAGGGCCAGATTGTGCATGTCTTTCCTTTTTAAAAGCATGACTTGACTTGCCAAACAAATATTAAATTCACATGCTTCTACTAAACAACGTGAACTCTCTACATGTTTTGTAAAAACTTGCAAGTTTCCCATTGAAACCTAATTAGTAACTCTGGGAGTGTGCACATGCATCTCTTATAAGCCACTTTGCCAGGCCTTGCTATATTGGTGAACCAGTGGAGTGTGAAACACTTTTATTGTACATACCCAGTGAACAAATTTAACAGGAGCATATCGGCCTACTTTGGAATATATGCAGTGTTGTTCAGAGAGACAAAGTGGGTGAGGTAGTATCTTTCATTGGACCAACTTTAGAATCGTTTTTTTCCCTTAAGAGTGTAGTAGGAATAGCACACTCACTTGTTGGTGTGTTTAAAAAAATGAAATGGCTTTGAAGCAGAGTGCAAGTGAAACACTTTGCCTCACTGCCCTCAATTTTTGTTTAGATCACTTTTTTAAGTTACAGCTTAAATCTTAGTAATTGCTGTGATAGCATTCAGTGCTAGCAGGAGTGCATAGACATACTGTCTGTGGCAGCAGCGCTCAGATATGGAATCCTGGTGGTCATGTAGCATACACCTACATTTGCCTTGTGTGACACCCGCACTAGCCCTACTGTCACTGTGTTCTTCTTTCATCTCCATATTTTTATTTGGAGGGCCAGGTTTAGGAAATACCCTTGTGATGCCACCAATTAATGGAGGAATGAACGTTTTGCATTGGGGCGAAATAGCTTCAGATTTGTCTGTATTTATTCCTAGGCCTGCGTCTTGAAACTGAAGCTCTGTTCAAGTCTAAAAAGTAAAACTTGTTTTTACCTGAGCTATGTTTACAGTATATAAATCCTTGAAAACAGGATTATGAGAACTGCAACTGACACTAAACATGCCTGACTTTTGGCCAATATCTCTACCCTTTAGTATTTGAATTGCTTTTTAACACCTCCAAGAAACTAAATATTTAAATGCCCAATATTCAAAGAGTCTTTTGCACATTTCTATTTTGCTTATTAATCAATTTCATATCGTTTATCAATATATAATTTTGTTTTAAAGGAGTCCCATAGGTCAAGAAGGAAACGTGAAGTTGCAGAGAAGCAGACTAATAATGGCAAAAAAATGTCTTTATTCTCAGAAAGAAAATATAAGACCCTGGTAAGCATTTCCATATCAAAACAACAATTTCTCTTCCATCTCTTTACCTTCCCTTTACTCTTACGGAACCCTTTTGGGTTCAGCAGAGTGAAGGAAGGCACTTTGTTGTATAGATCAGGGATCGGCAACCTTTGTTGCTGGTTTGTTTACCTGCCACATCTGCAGGTTCGTCCGATCACGGCTTCCATTGGCCACAGTTTGCCGTCCCAGGCCAGTGGGGGGTGTGGGAAGCGACGCGGGCCGAGGGATATGCTGGTCGCTGCTTCCTACAGCCCCCATTGGCCTGGAGCGGCGAACCCGCGGCCAGTGGGAGCTGCAATCAGACGAACTTGTGGACATGGCCGGTAAACAAACCTGCCCGGCCCGCCAGGGTGCTTACACGCTGGCGAGCTGCGTGCCAAAGGTTGCCGATCCCCGGTATAGATATTCTGTTTGACTTTTATAACTTTTTAAAAATATTTTTCTTTTCTAAATCTGGCAAGTATATTGGAATAATTTCCAGACAGCTGTAAAAGAACAATTTAATACATCTCTCTAGATTTAATTAGCAATGTATCTAGGTAAGCATTTAGATTTCAGAAATGGACTTTAAAAGGGAGCGGGATAATTAATAAGAACAAAGTAAAGAAATCGTGCACAGACTGATTCCTACATTTTGACAGATATTTGGTTGACAGTATCCATTCCTATCTTATCATTGAAATTAATAACAGTTTTGCCATTGATTTCAGCAAGCCAAGGATTGGGCCTTCTAAAGGGACCACACCTTTAACTACTGGACATACATCCTCCTGTTTCTTTGCTACAACTATTTTAACCCATCTTGTAATTTTTCAAATATTTTTCTGTAAAATGTGACTTTTGAAGTGTGTGTATATTTATTTATATAAATTACAGGACTGTAATGTGAATGTACGCTGTGTGAATATAAAATGTCCCTTGCAAGGCTTGGACAGAACGGCATTGGTTGTACTGCGTTCAAGATTGTGGAATAGTACTTTCCTAGAGGTATATTCTATTGCAATTCTTGAGACATTTTTGCACTCTCCTGTCTTTTCTCTTCTAATGTATCCTCATTATATTTTGAAACAGGAATATTCTACACTGAACTATCTAGATATCCTCGTTAGGGCTAAAATCAGTGTTCCTGCTGCAGCTGAAAACATTAAGCTCACAAATGAAGCTGCTCAAGTGAGTTTTCAAAATTTCTTTAACATGGGTTGTAGTGAAGTTTCCTGTGTATATCATATGTATTACTCCTGGGGGAATTCTGCACCACTGTGCAAGCACAGACTAATGTCCCCTGCAGATTTTACTCTTTCCCCACAGTATAATTGATTCATGTGCCCTCCCAGGCAGTGGTCCCAAGCGGGTATGGCAGGAGCAGCCAAGGGAGATGTAAATCACTGCCTTACGGGGTGGGACTGGGCATGCCTGCGAGAGACTGTCCCTCTTGCCCACTATCCTGGTGAGCTTGGTGGTAGGGAGAGGCAGGGCTGGCCCCAGCCCGCTCTACTTCCCCAGCTCCCAGTGCTGCGCTCCGCTTCCTGCCGCCGATGAGTGCGGGGAAAGGATCGCCCCTTGCGCTCACCAGCAGCAGTGGGAAGCGGAGAGATGTGGCCCTGGCCATGTCGCTCAGGTTGGGGAAAGGACCGGTGGCAGGAAGTGGAGCGCCGTGGCTGGGAGCTGGCGGAGTAGAGTGGGCTGGGGCCAGGCTGCTCCACTGCTGCTGGTGAGGTGGGGGGGGGGGGGAGGGGGATCCTTTCCCGCAAGCCCCCTCCCCCGAGCGACACGGCTGGGGCAAGGGAAGTGGGGCAGGCTGCTCCTGGCCCCTCGCTAATCCCCCATGCCACTCTCCTGCCTCCCAGACCCGGGGGGGCTGCATAGGGCACCCAAATGGCTTGGGATGGCCCTGGTTCTGATATATTCAAACACTTAATAAAATGACAGTCCCTGCTTTGAGTTGGGCAGGTTTATTTTTTAGTCCCTCTTTCCCCCAACCTCATCCACAAAAAAATTGTAATTCAGGAAGGGTTCTAGTGAATGTTTAGTTTAATCCAGTACTTTCCCCATAGACTCTTTTCTCATTCTGGCTTTGGCATAGAGCTTTCAGCTAGGGAAGAGTTCAGTACTTCTGGGTTGTAGGTCCTATATGCTTCTGAGCTTCCATTAGTTTGGAAGAATTCATTGGCACACTGGGCTACATCTCACCTGAGTATGTCCCATGGAATCCCCACCATCATTCTCAAGAGTCAGGCACGGTCACCTGCTGCTCTTGAAAACTGGGTGGTAAGAAATGCTTCAAGTAGGCATATAAAAATTGTAGGAGACATGATGCCCTCTTCAGACTAGTGACTAGCCTCCAGAGCTCAGAAAGCTCAAGGAACTGCTGTAGAAGTGAACTTTGGGTTACAATTAGGATCTTGTTAAACTTTCCATCCCCTTACTCAAAACTTTTCCCCTCCCTTAGGTGCGACTTACTGTCTTTCCTGCAAAGACAGTAGCACTTTATACAGGAGTGCCTTGGTGGATCATCTTGGTGGCTATTCTTGCTGGAATACTGATGCTCGCACTGTTGGTGTTTTTACTATGGAAGGTAAGTTATTTTATTTTACAAATCACTCTTATCTTTTCAGGTACAGGTCAACATATGAAATAAGATAGAAAACTAGTTAAGCAACTCCAAAAATGCATTTTCAAAATATTGCTATAGGGACACAGTCTACTTAATCATTAAACAAGTTTCATTTCATGCTATTAGTAAAAACCTTACTGAAAATTAATTTAAAAATCAAGGTTTTTAATGTCTCATCTTGAAAAATGACCAGTGAAGTTCTATTTTTGCTTTGTAGTAAAAATTAATAGTAATTTCAGTTTCTGCAACATTTGGTCTGAAAAAAAAATGCATGGCAATGTTTGTTTAAAACAAATGTTTATGGAACATTTCTGTTTGTTAGATATTGTACACAAACTTTTATAAATCCTAAATTGGGGGCAAATTTTGGCGATACGTTAACATTATTTTACAATATAAAAAGTTATTTAACTTGATTGGTATGTGGATTAGATCTGGTTGGGGTTTACAGTTCAAACCACTTCAAATTGGCCTGTTCATTGAAACTGTCAAAATGCATGTATCGCAAATTAGTACTATCTACAGTACTTGGAACAGTAAAGCTTCTTGTTCTGATAAAACATTATTTGGATACATTCTTGTGGCTTGAGAATATTATGAAACATAATAGATGCCTATTAATACCCCAGACAGAATACATTGTTCCTTTATGTACAATGTGCTGAGAAGTTAATAACGCAGACATTACTGAAAAATGTTGATTGTAGATGCTGCATTAGCTTAAAACCTACTTTCTCCCTTAAAGCTTTAATCTGGTATTAACTTAGTTTATAAAGTCAAAAACATAAGCATTTGACCTTTCATTCTTGGTGGCTTGGTTCTTAGGCTCAGTGTCCTAGTTGCATATCACCTAAGAATTCCTTACAGAGCCACCATTGTTAGGGGAAACCGGTTCTGGGTCAGGAATCATTTTAAGTGGAAGAGTACAATCCTCTTATTCCTGATTCCCATCCACACTCCAAAATTCCTGGATTAGGAAAATCTCTTCAGTCCTTGGTACCATCTGGTTCTCTGACACTTCTACTATGTTTTCAGAAGAGACCCTGAGGAACTTCACTTGAAAATAGCTTCTCTGAACAGCTGCTGTTCTTTGCTGACCATAAAAGGTGCTCTTGTTCAGAGTTTCTAAGGTGCCCTTCAATTCCCTTTTGATTGTCCTGTTATGCTTTCTTCCAGTAGGTACATCAGCTTCTGTTGCAAAGTAACAGCACATAACTGCCAAAAAAAATTGCTTCTGATTCAATTTTTAATAACTCACTTGAGGATCTACATTTTGACTGTTAAGGATTATGATTGCACACACGTGTGTGGTTTGTATTAAGCAGTTGTTATTCTTTCAATATAAAAGAGATCTATCATCTATGTATCTTACACTGAAAGGAGAATTAAAACGACTAGAGAAAAGTCAAAGCTTTTTGAGCTAATAGAATATAATATGCCTACCTCACCACAAGGGCAAAAATGATTTGCTTAGTTTATGTAAAAGCAACAAGAACTTTCACCATTGTGGGAAGTACAGTAGAGTCCTGAAGAAAATAAGTGACCATCTCAAAGCAAATGACATACAAATGACCCTTTTGGGTGAAAGTACAATAAATTTCCACTTGTCTTTTGGGACCTAATGTGACCCATTCGTGTTTCTATCATTTGAGCATTGTACGGGTGTCTTAAAATGTGTAAAAATGGTGGTATTCCTTCTCTTACCTGGTGTATTATTTATTTGGAGCCAATCCCATAAACTCTTGGTTCTCAAATAATGTCCTGGTGTTCTGTAGTACTAGGGTTAGTAGTTAATACTTAATCTGTATTTTTGCAATACTGTCTTATATTTTAAAATGCTCGCTAAACAATTGGCTAAGATTTGTGACTCTGCATGCTGTTGACATCAAGGTGCCCTAGGATGCTGACAGATTAGTCAGAAACTACAACGTGGTGTAACAAATTCTCTCTCTTCTAGAGGAGGTGGTGGTGGTTTTTTTTTTTTTTTTGGTTCTGCATAGAGGGACATGATATCCTGGAAAGTGTTTTGAAATACCTTTTTCCACCCTCACCTATGTTCACAGTTGATGCTCTTGTGAAAGGAATGATAAGAATTACTGTCCATTCCATTTGATTGTCTTGTGAATTGGCTTTAAAATTGTTTAATAGGCTGTCACTTTTTCCTTTACATACCAATCCATAAAATTGACTAAATACCTTGCTTCCTTGTAGTGTGGTTTCTTCAAGAGAAGTAAGAAAAATCATTATGATGCCACATATCACAAGGCTGAGATCCATACTCAGCCATCTGATAAAGAGAGGCTTACTTCTGATGCATAGTATTGATCTACTTCTGTAATTGGTAATTGATCAATATTTTTTAATTTCTAGCTGTGGGACATGCTATGGTTGTGGTGGCTAACAATGGGAAGCTTGCGGCTGGGTTTCAAAATATCAATATCTGCTTGCTTACTCTGTTTATAATCACCTTTTTCAGTGCATGAGAAGAGACACAGGCTCTTACATATTACTTTGAATGCTTTTTGTGTGTATGTTTCAACAAAAAATCCTAACCACTACAGTGGAATTCTACACACTGAAATAATTACTTATCGAGCATTTGTATACTAAGTTTTTTAAAGTTTCAAACTTTACACATGGTAACTACAGAGAGTAAAGTTTTAAGATGTAAAATAAAGTTTACTGGTTTTGTGTTAGTGTTTCCTGATATTTGGATGTTACATAAATTGCTTTATTAACCTCTTATGCATGCTAAAAGCCTTGTGCTACTCATGATGAAAAGGCATTTCCTTATAATTATTTTTAAATTGCTGTGGAAACTGATAAAGGTTTAATGAGTTTTTGGTTACTTCTTAAGACATTCTAAAATATACTCTGCTGTGATCTGAACATGTTTTTTTCCTCCTGAAAACTGACAGATGTTTTATGCTTTTCGTAAATTTTGCTCAGCATAGGAAATCATAAGAGTGTGTGTGTGTGAGATGATGATGCTTTGGGATCTAACTAAAATCTGTCAACACTGTGCACACAGTGAAAGGGTAGATAATAGAAATGAGCTTGAACCAAACCTTTGAACAGCCCCAGACTTTGGAATACTGGTGTCAACTTTTTCTCCTACCATTTATCATCTTTAAAGTGACTATTTTTTCAGTACTATATAATTAAAGAGCAATATTTCTTACGAGTTTGCAGTAGACCACTGAATTTAAGTATTCTGCTCAGAAAGCTTTTGTAGTAAATTCTCTCTACTCTTTGGCTGCATATCTCTTCATTTCTAAGGCCTTGATCCTGCAAAGCCATTCTCATGTGCTTAACCTTGACTGCAGTGGGTCTGTTAAGTGTGTGCATATATAACTGTGAAAGACCAGGGCCTCAATGGTGAACTGTTCATCACAGCTTTTCTTCATTCAGTTTTTAATGGAGAACATCTCCCACTCTGACCCTGCAATCTTGCACTCTTTTTACTAATAAAAATAGATTTCCCTTAGAGACTTGGAATGCCCTGGCCAACTAATCAAATGCAATGCATCCCTTGACTCCTCAGTTTGAGTCTACAGATGAATGAACAAAATAAATTGTACCCTATAATCAGTTAAGCCAATATTTGATTAAAATAAACAAGACTCACTTGATAAAGATATATGTAGTTATCAAACACATTATGAATATAGTTGTTTGTTTAAATCTTAGGAGCTTAAATCACTAAATTAGGAGCTCAAAAGCTGAGACCCTAATCTAATGCCTACTGAAGTTAGTGGGAGTTTTTCAATTGACTTCAATGGGAACTGGATTATACCCAGATTCAGGAAGGTACTGCATGCACACAATTAACTTTTTAACTTTAAGAATGTATTTAAATGCTCTCTCAACTAGGAGTTATCACCATTTCAGATTAACTGCACCTGTATTCCTGAGGTCACTCACTTAAAGGTTCTGAACTCCCAGTCATCATCTCTTGTGGGCAGCTCTTCTCTTTCCCTCCTGACCATGGGTAACAAGGCTTCTCAGTTCCCTCTCTACACTTCGATATTTTGAGCAAGACTGCCTAGACAGGCTAGCATCTGCACTTTGCTTTCTCTCCAAAGGCTATGAACTGTCCGCAGTTTGGTAGCACACAGCTCTTCCTAAGCAAACACATTTATTAATGTGAAAGCATTACAGAGAAGACATTAAAAACAATACAAAGCTTACCAGAGGTCACTCCTAGATCAGGCTCTGATGTGTGTCAGTCCTTCAAAACATACAACTGGGTTTTCCATGGTTTACAAATTCAGAAGAACCCATGCTGGGCAGTTCAGCTGTTTCTTTATGCATTTTGGGCTTGGGATCTCATCTCCAGGAACAGGTAATCAGCAGAAAATATCCCATTCCTCTGCACATAAATTTAAAAGGCTAAGAGTTTGTATAACCAAAGGTTGGGGAGTTTGCATTAACCTCTCCCCCTAGGTATTCCCCAGAAAATTCACTTCACACTTCTTGGCCCAGAAGTCCATTCTTGTGTGGCACATTTTCCATATAGTCCTTTGATCTCCCAGGCCTCACATCACATCTCCTTCCTGACCCACACAAACTCTGCATTTAATACAACTGCCTCCAAAGATGCTTACTTAATTCGATAAGGATTTTTCAAGGAATTGCCATATTTATCACAGGGATGCTTTCCTGAACCGGGGTTTTAATCTTGCAATGCAAAGGCCTAGTCTACAGATACAAATTAGCTATGTTGCTCAAGTCTGTGAATTAACTGCCAGCGTAGCTGCAGCTAGGACAATGGAAAAATTCTTCTATCTAATTACCTACTGCCTCTGAGAGAGCTGGATTAACTACAATGGTAAAAAACCCTTCTGTCAATGCAGGAAGTGACTACGCTGCAGTGTGATGGTGGCGCAGCAGCAGCAGCACTATAGCATAGACATACCCACACGAGTAATCCTACAGAAGGCAACAGGAATTAATGCACAATGCTGCAGGACTGTGCATCTAAAATTAGCCATACAAAATTAATGGAAGGAATTTGTTTTACGCTCTCTTGAATTGTTGGATTGTGCAGTTTGCTTTCACTTGCTGCTGATAGTTGTAATTTATAGACTTTGGCTCAGTTTCACATCTGTAGACACTTTTTGGTGTGCTATTTTTTTTTTTAAACTTTTCAGTTACCTTGCCTGTCACTTCTTTCTTGAGAGAAGCCATTTCTTTTGTACTAATGCAAGCAAAGAGTTTGACATTTATACTTACAGTACTTTGATTGTAATTTAATCCTAAACTGTTCCCTTTCCTAGTGTGGATTCTTCCAGCGCTCCAGGTACGATGACAGTGTCCCCCGATACCATGCTGTAAGAATTCGGAAAGAGGAGCGACAGATCAAAGATGGGAAACATAAAGAGAATCTTGAGAAAAAACAATGGATTACAAAATGGAATGAAAATGAAAGTTACTCATAGGGAAAATTTTCCCCCTCAACTCCAAATTCAGATTTTAATATTTCTTCATTAATGGAATACTGATGGACTCAGACCTACATACAATATGGACCTATATTTTTGATTGTAGATATTTTTACTTATATTGAAGCTTTTGTTTTGCACAGCTAAATTTTAAGATTGCTTGACCGATTTATCTGCATTATTTAAACTTCGAGATAGTCAGAGACAGAGGCAAAATTGGTGCATTGAACTGAGCATTCTATGAAATATGCACATTTAGTTTATAATGATGTCACAAAAGTCCTTTTCTACATTCCTAAAGTCAATGGATGTGCAAGGAATGCAGGATCTGGTCCCAAATATATTTTCCAAACTTCTACCACAATATGCAATCTATTATAAACACACTGTAGCCTTGACTCACTTTATTCAAATAGAATTTGGGGAATCTGTGAATGTGATATTCTAGTCATAAGAGACTTCAGCTATGGTAGTTAGGGCTTAACCTAAAGTGTCTTAAATTAAATGTGCAATAGGTCATGTTGCTATGTTTCTCACACCAAATATACACAGGTTTAAAAAAAAAAAGAGCTTGAAGATTAGTTGTATGTTTCTGTATATATTTTAGTAATTCTTGTATTTATTTTTTTTATCAGCAACCATTTGTCTTTGACTAATGAGGCCGAAGACTTTAAGTGAACTTTAAAATTGATATGGATGTTCTTAAATAGGATATGAAAGTCCAGTTAGACGTGAAGCTTTCACTGCATTTAAAGAGTGCCAGTGCTTTTTTTAAAAAGTAAATTTCAATCACTGACGCATCCTTGGAAATATAAACATTCATGCCGGTAGTCTGTGGGGGCATTTTTTCTTATTTCTGTTTATGCAGCAGGGATTTCGGAAAGATGTGGACAAATTGGTGAGAGTCCAGAGGAGAACAACAAAAATGAAAATGTTTAGAAAACCTGACTTATGAGCAACAGGTATATATTACAAAAAAAAAAAAAACAATCCTGGGCATGTATTTAGTTTTGAGAAAAGAAGACTGAGGGGAGAAGGGAGAACCTAATAATAGGTCTTCAAATGTTAAACTCTGTTGTAAAGAGAACAATGATTAATTGTTCTTTGTCTTCTGAAGGCAGGACAAGGAACAATGGGATTAATCACAGCAAGGAAGATTGAGGTTAGATATTAGGAGAAAAAAAAAAAAAACCCACAACCACTTTCTAATTATAAGGGTAGTTAAGCTCTGGAATAAGCTTCCAAGTGAGGCTATGGAATCCCCTCAGTGGGGGATTTTAAGAACACCAGTCAGGCATGGTCTAGGTTTTACTTGGTCTGGGCTTGACTTCAAGGCCCCTTGCAGCCCTTCATTTCTATGACTAATTATGTTCCTGTAACACGTGTGTGTTAATTGAGAATATTTAAATTTTCTTTTGTACATCCAAAATGTATAGGTTTTTCTATCTAATTTTTATACTTAATACAAAAAGAAAGGTGCTTCTGGAAACAATTTTCCAGCTCCGTATGGATTTCATGTTGAGAAAAGTGTGTCTACTACTGAAAATGTTATATAGCACTTGAAAGAAAACATAAGCTCCTATCTGTCCTTAACAATGGATCTGCACTGATCCCTTTTGAGACTACTGAGTGATGTCCTAAATATATCTAAATGTTAATTGTAAGAATAGTGACACACTGTTGTGCTGCTCAGTAACCAATTGTTGTAACATAAGAGCTATTTAAAGAGTTTATTGGTTTTTTTAACCTACATTCTAAAATGTTGGTACTATTTAAATAAGAATTAAGATTTCTTATTCCATATAAAAAAATACTAATGATCTGTGTGCATAATTGTTTTGCATAGGGATGAGAATTATGCAAAAACTTGTAAAAGTATTTTCTTTACAAGCTGCTGGCTTTACCTTCCCCCAGAAGTCCATTGTTCTAATGCAGACTGCTGGGGTGACTGAAGCAAGCAAGACTGGTCATCAATTTTGTGGGCGGGTTTTTTGTTTTGTACTACAATTCATTTCTTTCATTCAGTCAGGCTTTCTGAAGCTTTTCTTTAAAAATGTCATTTTAGAAGCTGCATTCTTTTGCTTCAAGGTTAACAGGTCTCATGTATAATTTTCCTCCTCTCCTCCCCCCCATCATATACTTCCAAAATTACATTGTGACCCCTGTTCTGCAACATGTGTGTTTACATAGCTGTTTACTGCATACTGCCAGTCTGTCTCCCTAATGAGAGCTACAGCAGTGTTTAAAATCCCAGCTCCTTTGCCCAGTGGCTCAAAACCCCAAGAAACTGAGCTCATCAGTTGCTAAGAAGTGGGAATTTTGAGACTGTTGCAGCCCTTATTAAAATAAAACATATGGTTAGGTATGGGGCACCCTCTTATTATAAAGAGCAAAATAATAAATGTCTTGGCAGTGTTAAATTTAGGACTATTGAAAATGTCATCTCATGTCATGTCATGAGTATACTATCCTCTCATACACACAACTAGTAATGCTAAATCATTCCAGGATTAGAAATTACCTGTGGATATTTGTATAAAAGTGTGATTTTTTTTAATTAAAATACACATTGCCTTGATATTGCTACTATATTTCTTCCAGGACAAGTTTCTTTTAGCGACTGAATTGTTAATTATGTAACATAAAATAAGCATTAGCAACTGAGTTTCTGTAAGTGGTGCTTAGATTTCACAGCTCACCAATGTGTTATAACTAAAGCCAGCCTGCTCTATATGTAATTTTCAGACGAATTAAAGTGAGAAATAGGAACTATACATGATGATGAACCATTTAATTTATTACTAGTCTACTTAAAAATCACTGGGTTATCTATAAAAAGGGGAAGGATTTACATGCTACATTTAGGTATTCATGCCAAATTCTACTGGCCTCACCCCCTGCAAGTAGTCTGATACAGAGGCCTTGTATACATGAGACACTTCCACTTTCTGCAGCCCAGTATCACTCACAGTTCTGTGGCACATGGGCTGTCCCCTTGTCACAGCAGTTTGCAGAGATGGCTAGCTTGCCCCCATGCACAGCTGCTGCCTCCACTAGAGCAGTCAGTGGCCGGTTGCTTTGCTCCCACCCATATCTTTGCTAACTAAGGTTTTTTTAGGGCAGTAACTGAGCACCTTTTAATGTCTCCTTCCTCATGTAACCTAGGCAGAGGGGAGGTAAGTCAATTTACTTGCCAATTCTGTAGCACAGAATTCCTCTAATTTAAAGTGTTTGCACAGATCATGAATTCCTATCCTTGCAAAAGACTACAGCTGCACTTTCTATAGGAACCCTCACAGTAGAAACAATAGATTTCACTTTTTCTCTCTCTTCTTAGAGATCCAGTACTAGTCTTTACCATAAGATAGCTACAGGTATGTGCACACAAATTTCAAATTCCTTTTTGTGAATAAACACTCCAAAAGATAAACCAGCAGTTATAATGCACCCTAGCTGGACTAATATCACTGTTATATTCTTTATTTTAAAGGAAAATATCTAAAGGGCCTACACCCAGAAGTACATGTATCTATAAAACCTTACAAAATAAATACAGGGATAGAAATTGGGACTTTTGGAGATCTGCTTTCACAGAGGCTTGCCCTGGGTATTATACTGATGAACAAACAAAACATTTAGTTGTACTACATCAGGGGCGGGCAAATTTTGGCCTGAGGGCTGCATCTGGGTTCCAAAATTATATGGAGGGCCAGTTAGGGGAGGTGTAGCCCAGCTCCCGCCCCCCTATTCCCTGATAGCCCCTGGACCCCAGTCACCCCATCCAACCTCCTCACTCCTTCCTGACTACCCCTGCCCTCTGACCATCCCCAGCCCCTTACCATGCTGCCCGGAGCTCCGGTGGCTGGTGGCGCTACACCTGCACCACCAGAGCAGCAGGACAGGCAGCTGCGCTGCCCAGCTCGAGCCAGCCACACCATCCCGCAGCACAGAGCACGAGGTCAGGCCCTGGCTCTGCAGCTGTGCTGCCCCAGGAGCTTGCAGCCCCGCTGGCGGCGGGGTGAGTGGGAACAGCAGGGGAGGGGCCAGGAGCTCAGGGGCCAGGCAGGAGGGTCCCGTGGGCTGTAGTTTGCCCACCTCTGTACTACATAATCAGTTATTTCAGCCTCCTCATTACTGAGCACATACAACTTCAAGAAAGAACAACCAACCTCACACAGTGTCTTTGGTTCAATGATGTAATACCTCCACTCTGCAATTTCTCTTTTAGGGTGTTTTACCAGTCTCAATCCGCATTGCCTTCTGTAAAACTACAGGAAATTGTATTGAGATCCAACCCCCAGGTTGAGCCTGGCTTACCCCTGGCAGCTCTATTTCCTGGATTTGACTGGCGCTCAAACTGACTGACTGTTTTGTACCCCCAACAGCACTTACTACTGAGTGGCCAGCTTCTAACTAAGGGGAAAAATGTATATACATGCAGGAATATCTGCCCTTAGTGAAGCCTTTGCCAGAAACCAACACAGCTACTGAGCAAGGTTAACTTCCTGCCCTCCCTATAGTGTGCTGAAATAGCAGCTACCTCTTTGCAGTCATTTAAGGCCAGGGGTAGTTAAGAGGCAGACCACAGGCCACATCCAGACTGCTAGATCCTTTTGAACAAATCCCAACAACTTTTTCCCCCCCTTTTAATTATTTTCTCTGGCATCTGGACCTTGACCAAGAAATTTGGATCTTGACAAAAAAATAATTGACGATTCCTCAAGGCTCTGTACAGCCATCTTACCTGGGAATGTTTTTATCTCAACTCAAGAACAAGTAGAAACAGCAGCTGTGATTAAAGCAATGAGTGTTTCTGGCTGAACACTATGAAAGAAGAGAAAGAAAAGGGGGGTACACCAGCATCAGGTAAATTGGTAATAAGATGACTAAAACTGGATGGTAGAGCACAGAAGTAACAGTCTAGATCTGAGGCAGCTTTTGCAGGCTCTTCCAAAGGCAAGTGATGTCCTCCCTCTTTGCAACCAGCTGTCCCTGGCACAGCCAGGTCTTGGAGCGAAGTTGGAAAGGTGTTTTGAAATATACTCCATCTCTCTCGACAATGATGCAACCCCAATGCAGAAAGTCCAATAATGGACTTTAAGCATCCCTTGGAGAGAGAGTCCAAGGATGAGGACTCCATGTTGGGCCCCAGGTATGGTCCTCTGCAAGACAGGAAAAAAAAAAGCCAAAAAAGAGCCAAATGGGAGTGCAAGAGATATAAGAAGGCTGAGAGAGTCATCGTTGAACACAGTCTCCGCCTCTTCTGCTGAGGAAGGAGACCTTTCTGATCCAGGCTTTAACAGGACAGAGGAGGGTGAGTTGAAGAACAGGAAAGGTTTTTGCCCCCACATTTGTTACAACGTGCAAGAATATGGCATTCACTATTAAAATACAGCCTGATAAGGCGGTATTAGATGACAAATGGTGCCAAGGACCACCACTGTTAGCCTTAGATAACATTCGCCTGCACTTTCCTTTCGAACAGGTAATCAGATAAGTGAGAATGCTCTGACAAGGGAAAGTGGGTACAGACACACACACACTTAAGAAGGTTCTTTGATTTTCCTGCAGGAGACTAGCATCAGTTTGACACCAAATCCAGTTGGCGGTGGGAGTGTGGGAGCAGACTGTACTTGACACTGGCCTCTCCACACCTACTGCCAGAGGTTCTGAGGGTTGGCTGTGATGCCAGGTTGCCTGCTGCACCTTTGAGTCTATCTGGAGGGAACCACTTCTCAATCCTGTCAACATATATGCCCTGAAACAGGTACAGAACAAGTGACTCTACCAGCATCTTCCTTCCTCAGCACATTGGAGGATCACAAGAGAATCATCCTTGGCAGGGACATGACCACCCTGGAGATGCAGGACCAGATTGGGAAAGAGGTGCCAGGCTCCTACAGGGAGATTGTCAACTATCACTCCTTGATGGATACCTGCCATGACCAACAACCAGATGATATGGGCTCCTTCACCATTGTTAGTGGTTTGACTAAGCCTCCTCCGCTCTACTAGTTGGACGACATATCCTGATCCAAGATCCTGTGGACGCACTTCTCCAACATCTAGGTTCCTCCCTAGAGTTAAGGTCCTAAACCCTGGTTAGGGCTGGGGCCAGTACATGGCTCCAGGCTAGAGCTTAGGGCCAGAAGGCAGCTTTAGATTAGGGCTGGGGCCCCAGGAGAGGGTTAGGGTTGGTGATGGTAGGTGGTGCCTAGAGCCAAGTTAGGATTTGGGGTGGAAAGCAACTCTGGCCTAGGATTAGAACTCAGATTCATAGGGGACTGTGGGCTGAGGACGGTCAGGTTCCTCAGGACAGGATTAGGGTTGGGGCTGGTAAGAGGCCCCAGGCTAGGCCTACAGTTGGGGAGCTACTGTTACCATTAGTGCCAGTAGCCTTGAGATATAGTTAGGGTTGGGGCTAGCCAGCAGCCTCAGGTAAGGCTATGGTTGGGTGTTTGGGGCTAGTCTTACTGTTCAGGGGTGGTAGGCAACTTCAGGTTAGGGACTGAAGCTGGTAGCAGACTTTAGGGGAACCTCACCTAGGATTAGTGACAGTAGGTTGCCCCAAGATAGGGTTATGGTTTGGTCTGGAAGGGGCTCTGGCCTAGGGTTAGAGATTGGGCAGATAGGGGATAGGATAGTGTTAAGGATGGGGATGGTATGCATCCCCAGACAAAGGTTCACTTAGGGCCAGTAGGTGGTCACATGTTAGGGTTAGCTGGTAGCCCTAGGTTATAGTTAATTTTGGGCTTGGTAGGAGGCCATGGGCTAGGGCTGAGATTAGCTGATGGGAGACATGATAATATACTTATGTATAAGGGTAATGTCTAGGAACTTAAACCATGGTACTTTCAGGAAGTGAGAGAGGTCTATATATGTGGAGAAAAGGCAACATTCATGCTTTTTCTGTTTTGTCTCTTCCTTGAGCAGTGAGAACATAGTGTCAGAAGAGAAGCAAGTCAGCAGATAAATGAAATAAACTAAGAATATTACAAACGAACCAAAACATTCAGCATACCAGATCCTGTCCCAAAGAAAATGGAGATGGGCTGCCATGTGCTCCAACAGCATCTACATATGTCAGCAACAGATGAAGAATTCAAGTAAAAATCTTAGCTGTCCTCCCAAAGATTCCCCTCCTCCCCACAAAAAGTGTTATATATTCTAGTTATTTTTTCAACAATTGTGATAAAAAAAAAATCAGGAGAAGCAATAAATCAGCATATTGCCAAACTGTGCAAAATAGCTGACTCATGCAATTATTATTCCTGGGGGAATTATGCACTACTGTGCATGCACATAATTAATGAGATGCACATACTTTTAATTTTTTGCACAGAAGAAAGCTTCTGCATGAGGGAAGCTCCCTAACAATCCCCCATCCCCCCCTAACCTGTTTCATACTTTCTCAACCAACCCAACAACCCTCCAAGTTCACACCCAGGCTTCTTCTCAGCAATTTACTTCCCTCTCCCTCAGGTCCTCTGTTACCCTGACTCCCCCAAGAAGCCTTTGCACTGCTTCTGAGGAGTGCAGGAAATACGGTTCTGTATTGTACTTTACATGAATTATTACTCAAAGTTCTGTATTAATATGCTTAGTAAGGAATCTATTTGTCAAAAAACATTTCCTGAATCTTTTTTGTTCTCTGTATTGTTACAGACATGCTTGTTGACAGGTATTTTGAAATAAATGACCAAAAATAATTGAAACTGGTGTGATTATAATGTGTCATTTTGGCAAATAAAATCTGCAGAATTTTAAAATAGTG